GGTGGCTCTATAATCTTGGACTAGTTTCTTAACTTTAAGCCTTAGTTTCCTTCCCTATAAAATGGCAATAACAGCACTGTGATTATTCTTAGAGTTGTGTGGATTACTCAAGGGGCAAGAGAAGCTCTGTAAAGTACTTCATAGTACTTGGCACATCACAGGACTCAACAAGCATTAGCTATTAAGATTTTAAGTTACATTTCAAAATATGGTACTGTTCCCATCAATGAAATAAAGAGCTAAATGTATTACTTTAAGAATTCTATCTTGAAACCAGGTGGTGTGGCTCAGTGGTTGAGCATCGACCTATGAATCAGGAGGTCACGGTTCGAACCAGGAGGTCACCTATGAACCAGGCATGGTCAGGGCACATGCCTGGGTTGTGGGTTTGATCCCGTGTGGGGCATGCAGGAGGCAGCGGATCAATGATTCTTTATCATCATTGATGTTTATCTCTCTCTCCCTCTCCCTTCCTCTCTGAAATCAATAAAAAATATCCTATATAATAAAAGGTTAATATGCAAATCAACTGAAAGGTAGAACAACTGGTCACTATGATGTGCACTGACCACCAGGGGGGAGACGCTCAATGCAGAAGCTGCCCCCTGGTGGTCAGTGAGCTACCACAGGGGGAGCAATGCTCAGCCAGAAGCCAGGCTCATGGCTGGCAAGCGCAGCGGCAGTGGCAGGAGCCTCTCCTGCTTCTGTGGCAGCACTAAGGGTGTCGTGAGGAGCTGGCCTAAGCCATCAATTGGACATCCCCTGAGGGTTTCCAGACGGTGAAAGGGTGCAGGCTGGGCTGAGTGCACAAATTTCATGCCCCCGGCCTCTAGTATTTAAAAAAATAATAATTCTATCTTGCCCTAGCCAGTTTGGCTCAGTGGATAGAGCGTCAGCCTGCAGACTGAAGGGTCCCAGGTCCAATTCTGGTCAAGGGCACATGCCTGGGATAATGGGCTCAGTCCTTACCAGGTAGCTGATCAATGATTCTCTCTCATCATTGATGTTTCTATCTCTCTCTCCCTCTCCCTTCCTCTCTGAAATCAATTTAAAAAATAAAGAATTCTATCTTGAAAAGTTCATGGAGGCCATGTACATCATTCCTGCTTTCTGAAAAATACGACTTGTAAATAAACAGAAACAACGAATGGGTTAGTTATTAGTAACTAAACACACAAGAAAAGGAATTTGGAGTTAAGGGATTCCGAATCACAAGACCCGAATTCCAGTCTTTGGTAAGCCATTCATTCATTCATTCATTTTTGTTCAACAAATACTTACTGAGCACCAAGTGGTTGGGGATACAGCAAGGAGCATATATTTTAGTACCGGAAAACAGGCAACAGGCCAAGTATACAAAAAAGTTCATCCCATCGCATACCGATTAATGCAAACCTAGAGCAAGTTCACTTTCAATGCTTTTTTTTTTTTTTTTTGGCTGGGTGCTCCCCCACTGGCAGGTTACTGAGGACAAATTAAGGACAGGAAGGGAGGTGGCCTAGAGGAAGCCGCTCTACAAATGCCCACTGTCATCGTTAAGAAGTGAACACCTGCCCTGTGGCCCGTGTGACTCAGTTGGTAGGGCACCGTCCATGCATCCACAGGTTTCCGGTTCCGGTTTGATTGCCAGTCAGGGCACAGACAGGGTTGCCGGCTCATCCCAGGTTGGGGGAGGGGGGGCTGTGTTTCTCTCTCACATAGATGTTCTCTCTCTCTCTCTCTCTCTCTCTCTCTCTCTCTCTCATTCTCTCTTAAAAAAGAAGTGAGCACCTGGTCCCACCACTGGTCTTAACGCCTGGGTTGGACAACAGGTTTCTTTTGAGATAAGGAAACGGGATATGACACTCCATCCCTCCGGTTTCCCTTGTTTTAAATCTGAAGCGGAAACCGTGCCCTAAAGGCCACCCGAGTTCGGCCAAAATGCACGCCGTGCCCGAGGTCTGCTTGCCTGTGGTGCCCAGGCCGCTCACCTGGCGCCCGGCGAGGAAGGGCACTGTAGGGTTCATAGGTGTTTCCTCCGCCCCCGGAGAAAGTCGCTGTGCGCAGCGTCACCTTGGAAACGCCATAGCGCGTCTGCCCGCAGCGGTGGGGGTGGGGGTGGGGGTGAGGGTGGGAGGGGGGGAGCCCAGAGCCCGGGAGCCCCGCGCCCTCGGTCCAGCCCGCCCAAGCGCGCCCCCAAAACCGCCTGCCAGGAGGACCTCGCGCGCCAGGGGCGGGGCCGCCCGGGCTCTCGCGATACCTCGGTAGCAGCGCAACCAGACGCGGGAAGCTGGCTCCCACCAGACCACGTGCGGACACCGCTCTCACGACGCTTCATGCTTCCAAATCCGGGCCTGGGACTCAAGAATGATTAATCTGAGAATATGCGGCCCGCAAAACAGGTTAATAAGGGACGAAAATGAAAGTTTCTGTCCCCATCACCCTGGGTTATGACATTTGAGTTGCTCACCTAGTTCCCTCTGGCCCCACTGAACTGCGAGCTTTTTAGCTGCTGCATATAACTGACACTGAGAACAGTATCTGGCATTCAAACGAGTACATGGATGGAGGAAGACACCAGCCCCGGTAGCCAATACTTGTTGGCCAGCCCAGCAGACAGCTCTAAACTAAGAATTGCAATTAAGCCCTAACCGGTTTGGCTCAGTGGATAGAGCATCGGCCTGCGGATTCAAGGGTCCCAGGTTCGATTCCGGTCAAGGGCATGTACCTTGGTTGCGGGCACATCCCCAGTAGGGAGTGTGCAGGAGGCGGCTGATCGATGTTTCTAATTCTCTATCCCTCTCCCTTCCTCTCTGTAAAAAATCAATAAAATATATTTAAATAAATAAATAAATAGTCATTACTTGAGTTTTTTTAAAAAAAGAATCGCAATTAAAAAAAAATTTGTTTAGACTCTGGATGTAGCTCTTGAACAGCAATGAGAATCTTGCAACTTTATCATGACAAAATTTACCACATTCTGGTTTGAATCTAAACCTTTCACGTGTTGTTTCATAGTCCTCCCTTCTTTCCCCTTTTACTCTTCATGATATATAGGAAATGAACTATGAAAAAATACTTATCCCTGACAAGTAAATAATACATTTAATCCCTGGTCACCCACCCCCTACTGCTTAACCCATACGCTGGCATTGCTGCCAAGACAAGTTACCAAATAGTCTTATAGTATTTCAACTTTATTTTTTGATTGTGAATTAGCAAAACACGCCATTGTGTTTATAAAATCTGAAATGGAAAAACAAAATTACAGTTTGCTTTCAAACTTCACTGATGTGGGTGACACTTGCCTTCATAGGATAGGCTCATGTTTTAGGAGAACCAAGACATTGTCTTAGAATTTAAAATCAAGAAAGAAAATTCTGACAAGTTATTAAAAATAGTTTATCCAGCCCTGGTCGGTGTGGCTCAGTTGGCTGAGCATCATTCACGCACCAAAAAGGTCACCAGTTCAATTCCCGGTCAGGGCACATGAAGGAAGCAGCTGATGGATGTTTCTCTCTCAAATCAATAAATACATATTTTTAAAATACTGTATATCAAAACTGTATTTGCATTTGAAGATGCCAGCTTAATCATGACAAATCTCTTACATATATTGAGGTAGGCTGTTTAAGGGTTAGTATTCTTTTTGCTAAAAATACTAGACTGTGAAAACATTCCACAAAACACATATAAATAGAATGTATGAATTAAAGTCATGCTTTGTTCTACTACTTCATTTAATCAGAGATTAAAATATACTCTATTTTAAATTCAGGTCAAAGAAACACATTCACACATGTTATACACAAGGACAATTTTAATCCTGCATTTTCCTGCAGTAACATCCACTGCTGACTATATATGGATTGAAACTGCATTTGCCAAGAACTGTGAACATTAAGAATCTTTACATGAAGTCACATGTGTTGATACAGGCATACAGACATCTTCCAGCACCAACAGCATACATAACACATACCACATGGTCTCGATGGATGAATTTGCTTCATCAGATAATCAGATAATCATATTTAGTAAAATTCACAGTTAATGCAGAATTTTTTAAATTTACATCTTTACTACACATTCTAAGATTTTAATTATTTATAAAAACATTCAAGATTGTAATTTGCATGGCAATAAACAATAGGTTCTAAATTTATTAAAAGAATCTATAGCAATTAAAATACCACCAGTCTTCAACTTGTAGCACCTGGCTTAAGACCTTTATAAAAACAAAGTTTAAATTTGTTTAGTGCATTCATTATAATGGTGTTTCTCTTGTGAGAAAAACATGTTTCAGTTGCTATTTCCCAGACAATATATTGAACACGGGTTTATAATATCTGCAACTGGTTAGCAGGATTTTACACTCAGATAGCCAGAACAAGAACTCCCAGCCTCTGTAAATGGCCTTCCACTCAGAACGATGACAATGTATGAAACGGATTTGGGGTCTGCCCCCTACTTAACATTATTAAACATGTTTCCAAGTATTCTTGGAAAATATTTTAAATATAGGTGTAATAGTCTACTATATGAATGCACCATCATTTCTTTAACCATCTCCCAATTGTTCATTTATATCATTTGCAATTTTTTTGATAGTAGGAGTAACATCTTGATGAACATAAGACATACCTTTAGGATAATGTCAAAGAAGTGGTTTACTAGGTCAAACAGTGCAGATGGTTTTAAGGCTTGTCATATACTTGATGAATAATATTCAGAGCAGCTTGAACAACTCCAACCAGCAGTATGTTTATGGGCCCACAAAGTGGACTTGGTTGGTAACAATGAAGCCCATTCAACCACAAATCTATCAGATGCTCAGGCATCTCAGAACTCTCACACCGAAGAAGCAAGGATGTGATTATGCCTGGGGATGAAGCCCAATTACAATTCTTTAAACCAGATTAAATCACGACCATTTGGAAAATGATACACAAAATAAACTTCCCACAAAAAGTCTACAGTGTTTTTCCAAAAATAAAAAGTTTAAAAGACAGAAAGAGAAGTCAGGACCAAATGACCAAAAATTTTTATTTGACTAAATTCTATTTCATGCATAAGCATGACAGTCTCCCCTGTTTATAGGACTTTGGCAATAAAAAAACAAAACAAAACACAAGCAGCCTTGTACAGAACAGTGAAAATGCCAAGGGCGAGGGTAGTCCACAGTTTTACTGTAGGATAAATATTTTCTTTTCAAAAGGCCTCTCCCCCTTTGGCCAACTCTCAGTTCAGACCATTAAATACAGACAAATTCTCAAAATCACTTCTTCACTTCTCCAAGATCTTCAATACTATCATCATCCACCTATAAAACACAAATTACATCTCATGAGTTGTGACAGAAAATAACATGAAAGCAACCTGCCATAATCACTTATTTCTACAGATGTGTATGGTCCATAGACTCACCTCTGGCCATTTTTCCTGAATGACATCAATGATGTCGTCTGTAAAGTCTCCCTGAATGATGATCTCATCCTCCCCTGTCACTGAGGCACCACAGGAGAATTTTTGAGCAAAAAATCTTTGTGCTTCTTTAAGATCAATTTCTGTTATTTTAAGAAAAGAAACAACAAAACTATAATCAGAATTGTGTGTCAAGGACATTTTTCCATTTTGAAATTTAATCTGCATTTTAAATTCATAAAACAGATTGCATTCATGGGTTTCATATTCCTTTCAGAACAATAATCACCATCACAGACAGTGGTCTTAATGCAACAATTCAAGGTAAACATACAGCCTCAGTACATAAAAATACCATCACCCATAATATTCATGACTCGTATAGTAAGATCAAAATAAATCCAGGACCCTAGCTGGTTTGGCTCAATGGATAGAGTGTAGGCCTGCGGACCAAAGTCCCGGGTTCAATTCCAGTCAAGGGCATGTACCTCGGTTGCAGGCTCCTCCCCAGCCAGGGCCCTGGTCAGGGCGCATGCAGAAGGCAACCAATCAATGTGTTTCTCCCACATAGATACTTCTCTTTGTCTTTCCCCCTCTCTAAAAAAATCAATGCAAAAATATCCTTGGGTGAAGGTTTAAAAAATAATAATAAACAAACAAATAAATAAATAAATCCAGGAACACATGAATTCCATTACATATACACTTCTGAGTACAATGAAGTTCTTTTGTTTATCCCTTTCTTTGTTCTTCTGTATCTCTTTAAAAAAAAAAAAAAAGATAATTTACAGCAGAGAAATAAAGCTAATATTTGTAATGTGGTCCAGTGATTGTTTTCCAATCTGTGTTGTCACACTAAGGGACCTTGATTTGCAGTTTCACCCCAGTTTCACTATTCATTCAAGGCCTCCCCGCAGGACCTTCTGCCACCACCACCTTCCCTCACCCTCTATTGTTATTCCCAGAGGGGACGAGTCATTTTGCAACCCTCCAAGTTACAGGGCCAAAGGAGCAGCACTCACTGGTGGGCGTCAAAAGGAACCCTGTCCTTGCCCTCTTCATTCTACATAAAATGTGCCCATGCAGGAATTCTGGAGAGGAAAAAGTTAAACCAGTTCTCTCTGCAAAAGATATTAAAATGTCTTCCAAATTTGATTTTGAAGCTATAGTAACAAATGCAGAATCTTATCCTGTATCTTCTTAGCAAAAACAGACCCATGAAATTTTTATGATTCCAGATTTTTAGAAAGAGAAATATAGAGAGAGTTCACATGCTTTAAACACACTTAAGATCAAAAAGCAACTGTTTGTTACATTTGTTGCTTGGTGTAAAAAAAGAAAGAAAATTGTCTTTTAAAAGAAACTCTGTGTGTCCTAATAATTGCTCTGGAAGGAAATAAAAAGAGGTTTCCTTTCAAACACATGGAAAACTGTAATTAGAAGTCAATATATTAGGTCTCAAGAAGAAAAGTAAGTAATTTGTATTTTTGCCTCCGTAAACAAAGCTAATGTAAGGTTATTCAAAGACTAATAGCAGAAATTTAATTAATGTCATTTACTTTCTATAACCTAGGAAAGTGGTCAGCAAACTCATTAGTCAACAGAGCCAAATAACAGTACAACGAATGAAATTTCTTTTGAGAGCCAAATTTTTTAAACTTAAACTATACAGGTAGGTACATTGTTATTAACTTAATTAGGGTACTCCTAAGGCTTAGGAAGAGCCACACTCAAGGGGCCAAAGAGCCGCATGTGGCTCGCGAGCCGCAGTTTGCCGACCACTGACCTAGGACAAGTGAAGTTAAAAAATAAACCTTGTATCAGATTGGTTTAAATTGGCTAATTAAAATAAATGAAACAAAACAAAACAAAACAAAAAACACACTTAAGATTAAACTCACCAAAAGTTGCAAGGCCACACACTCTTGTTACGTATTTCTTCTTTGCTCTGGGAATTTTGGCTATCGTAACCTTTTGTGGTACGGTCTTCTTTTTTTGTTTTATTTGACCCCTTCCACCTTTATTTATTAAGGAAGAACTTAGCATTAGTTGTTTCACTTTCAACATAGTTAGAGAATACTGTCTTTAAAGTTGTTAACTTTCAAAAGGTACCAAATTTTATTTCTACAGTTGCTTGTTCTAATACAAAATTAATGAACACATGCATGAGTATTCATTCAATAGATATTTAAGTAATATGTGCCAAGCACTGAACTAAGGACACAAAACGAACAGAACACAGCCCCTTCAAGGATTCTCAAGTCTAGTCAAGTGCAACAAGAAAAGTTAAATCTAGTCCAGTCAGCATGGCTCAGTGGTTGAGTGTCGACCTATGAACCAGGAGGTCATGGTTCAATTCCGGGTCAGGACACATGCCTGGGTTTTGGGCTCGATCCCCAGCGTGGGACATGCAGGAGGCAGCCAATCAATGATTCCCTCTCATCATTGATGTTTCTATCGCTCCCTCTCCCTTCCTCTCAGAAATCAATAAAAAAAATACATAAAAATAGAAATGTTAAATCTTTACAGCAACCTGCTATTCTATATAATCCTATATAATAATCCTATATAATAAAAGGCTAATATGCAAATTGTCCCCTAAGGAGTTCGACTGACCAGGAGTTACACCCACTGGGAGTTTGACCACTGCTATGACATGCGCTGACCACCAGGGGGCAGAATGGAACGATGAAAGGCCCCAGCCTGCAGCTGGCAGCCAAGGAAAGGAAGGCCCAATCAGCCCTGATGGCCGGCCAGGCCTAGGGACCCTACCCTACCAGACCTCTAGTATACTATACCTAGAGGCCAATGCACAAAATTCATGCAGGAGTAGGCCTTCCTTCCCCGGCTGCCAGCACCGGCTTCCCTCCAGCCGCCGGCAGGCACCCGGGACCCAGGCTTCCCTTGCAGCCCTGGCTTCGTCCGGAAAGTCGTCCAGGAGGATGTCCAGTCTAATTAGCATATTATGCTTTTATTATTAGATAGGATCCATAAATACGACACTACCACAGCTTCGAAGAGGAGCGGCTAACCCTGCTTCTGAAGGACAGAATGGATTTCCTAGTGGAAGTGGCATCTAAGCTCCTGCAGAATAAGGAATTGTCCTGGCTGGAGAGGTTTAAGAAAGGACATTCCAGGAAAAGGAACGAGTTCAGAGATAAGAAAAGGCATTATATCTGAGAGCTACACCTGTCTTGATGAAGCACACTATGGATATGCAGATAAAGCCAGAAAAGCAAAAAATTCTGTATCAGTCATTAAAGGAACAGTACATCAAGCTTGTAATTTGATTTTACATTGAAGAAGGAGATAAGCCACTGAATGTGCAGGAGTGAGATGACCAGATTTATGTTTTGTCAAGATCACCCTACAGTGTGGAGGGTGGGTCTGTGAAGAGTTAGGCTGATTGGGAGGCCACGGAGCCTGCATTAGTTCAGGTAGAAATTAATCAAAATCTAAACCAAAGCAATGGCAATAGCAACGGCCACTAGGCACAGGATAAAGACAGTAAGTAAGAGAGAAATGTAACAGAATTTAGAACTGACTAAAGGGACAAAACGAGAGAACCTAAGATGGGTCTCAGATTTCTGGCTCAGATGACTGGATAAACTGTGCTGTCATTAACCAAAATAGGGGAAACAAAAGACACAGATTTGGGACTTAGAAAGTTTACTGTGGAAATCCTACATCTGAGGCGCCTATGGCACCATGCACATTCCCCATGTAGAGACATGGGCCAGGACCAGAGATACAGACTGGGGACTTCTAAGTGTCCAAGTTACGAACGTCGAAGAGTCACCCTAGGACAGTGGTCGGCAAACTCATTAGTCAACAGAGCCAAATATCAACAGTACTTCTTCAAAATAGACTCGCCCAGGCCGAAAACCGACTTCTGTGCATGGGCCACGAAGTTTCAATCGCATTGTACGCGCGCCCACACATGGTATTTTGTGGAAGAGCCACACTCAAGGGGCCAAAGAGCCGCATGTGGTTCGCGAGCCGCAGTTTGCCGACCACGGCCCTAGGAGAACAAGCAGAATGAAAGGTCAGAGGGCAGAAGACAGAATCCAGGGAAACATCAACTTCTGAGGGACAGAAGGGAGAAGTCTGCACAGAAGACCGAGGAAGAGTGATAGGATGAAAAAGAACGTCACAGAAACCAAGGAAGTACAGCACTTCCAGAAAGGAGTCCTCAAATGCTCTTATTATTTAGCAATTACTGACCCTTATTAGAGGGTTTCAGTGGCGTGAAAGTTAGGTTAGGACAGACTGGGCAGTGAACAGGAAGCGAATGGCTAAGAAGGGAAGCAGGGGGATAAGGCAAAGAAAGACATGGGCTCTTTGGAAATTTTTTGAAAAGATGCAAAGTCCTAAAAATATCTATAGGCTAATTTTAGTCACAGGGAGAATAATTAAGGAAGAAGAAACAGGAAGGGACAGGATCCAGAGGAGAGACAGACAGGTATATGCAACATCAGTAAAAAAAATGTCAACTGAGCTGTCAGAATAAGAAAAAATTTATATAAATGTCCTCGCTCTAATTAAATAGAATACACAGATAGTTTAATAAGGCAACAAAGTTTTCACATCATCAAGTTGGCTGGTTGCTTTTTACATATTTATACGGCAAATAAAGCATGTTTTCTTTAATTTGGTGATAAAGCAACAAATCATTCCGGATCCAACTCCCCCCTGAAAACAAGATTCTGTACCCCTCTGAATGATATTCATGAATTACAATAACAGGCAGGCGTTATTGATGTTGGAAATGCTTTCATCACTGATTTCTACTGGCAGAGGGAAGGTAAGTTTGTGTCCATCAAATCGTGGAGTTAGGTCTCACCTCTCTTTTGTTTTTTCTTTTCTTCCTCTTCTCCTGCTGGTCCTTGACCCTCACTAATTCCAGCTTCTTGTTTGGGTGAATTTTCTAGATGTAAAAATGAAAATTCAAAAGCATTAACATCACTTCCTACTAATGTAAAAAAATCAAATCACCTTTGAGCAACCCCATACAAAAATAAGCAATTTTACAACAATTGAGCGTGACTATTATTTTATTTTTGTTAAGCCTCACCCGAGGATATTTTTTCCATTGATTTTTAGAGAAAGTAGGAGGGAGGGAAGGGGAAGAGGGGAGAGATGGCGAGAGAGAGAGAGAGAGAGAGAGAGAGAGAGAGAGAGAGAGAGAGACATTGATGTGAGAGAGTCACATCGATTGGTTACCTCTCACATGGCCTGACCAGGACTGGGGATCGAACCTGCAGCCCAGGTACATGCCCTTGACCAGGATCGAACTAGAGACTCTTCAGTGCACAGGTCGATGCTCTAACCACTGACTCACATCAGCCAGGGCCTTCCCCAATAATTATTATCTCCCTGTTCCGTGTTTATCACTACTTAACATAATTATGTCATTTGTCTCATTTTACTTATTTTATTTGTCTCCCCTTAGAGAATATAATTTCCAAACACATCTTTTGTTTGCTGCTTTATCCTCATCATTTGAAACAGGGTGTAGCATATAGTATGCTCACAAGAAATAATTTGTTAAATGACTGAGTGAATAAATATTTGCCCCTAAATCATTTACTCTTCTTTATATAAAAAAGGTGATATTTTTAACATACCCTGTCTCAGAGAGAGAAGACACATGAAGCAGTGTGTGATTTGATATAAGGAATTTCAACCCAAGAACTTAAGAGAGTTTTAAAGTTCATAGGTATAGGTTATAATTCTGTAATTATCCTACTAAAAGAAGACTTTTCGTATCTTTAAAATAATACCTTATGTGCATTTGTTTTGGGTATACAAGTTTTGATGAAAGAAAAAAAATGTTCATACCTACTGTAAGTTTTGCGAACTCATTTGGAAAATTCTTCTCTAACCACTGTCTACATTTAGCAACATCAGGCATATATTCACAGTACTGGGGGGGAAAGAATAAACAGAGTTACAACAAAACATTTTCAGTCAACCAATATATTTTCATTTAAAAGCATTCCCAGTACTTGCTACATAAAGAATGATAAAACTAACTACTTCCACCTGCTGTCTTATCCACAGGAAATCAATATTCAACAGGAAACGCCCCATAAGAAATCAGAAATAAAAAGAAATTAGGCAGCTCCTCATTGTAGTAATTTATTTCTTTTCCATCAAACAGAAGGGCCATTAGAAAGGGAACAGACAAAAACAAGTACATCTACTTCTTGCTCTGGGCACATGGGTGCCTCATTATTTTCATGGCTTGCCCACAGAGCCTGACTTAGAAGCTTATTAACAGAAGTCTTACACATAATTCATGCTTTCCTCTGCTTGCATGTCAAATTTTGGCTTTAAAGTTACTCTTGTTTTATTAGCTGACTGACTATTCATGAGTGCCATGCAAAACCCCAAACTGTATGGCTAAGTGCAAAAGATGTACACATGAGACTCAAAATCTAAAGATTAATTTGTAATTCCATAAAATTATTCTAAACCAAGTTTGTCTATTAAAAGGTTGAAAATCTACTACTAAATGATAGAAAATGAAAAATAAGAAAAAAGTTCTCAAGATAGCTGTAAAATCAATGATCTCAAATGCAGAAATTAAAAGAATTTTAAAAGAACTTACCTCTGTTGGTAATGAACACACTGGGGAAATGGAGAGAAAAAGATTTAGAAATTTAAATACACACACACATAGCACTCATCATAACTTTAATTTAAAATTGACAAAATGCCTCATTTGTACTTTTTCCTATATTTTTTCTGTATTACTTTTCAAATGCTACCATCATGCCTTGCTTGTTTGAGGCAAAAGGCACATGGTTAATATCACACTTATAAACTTCAGTGGCACTTTGCTACCATTTCTTTGCAATATACTTTTTCCTTTTCCTATTACTAAAAATAAAAAATAAAATCAATTTCCCTCTACAAATCACTTATTAGTAAGCTAACTTTTCAAGGCAAAAATCTCACAGTCACTTTCAAATGTCACACCACTAAGTGAACAACCTGACATTATATAGGGATGATCTTATAATTATGCTATGTCAATCTGACCATTTTTTCTTTCTTTGTGGAACCTAAAATAATGGTACATCTTATAAAATAAAGAATTCCAGATTTGATGAAACAGGATATAAAGAATAGCTCTTAAGTACACTAGTATACTTTTCTAATAATAATAATAATAGTTAGCATTTATCGTAATACATTCTTTTTTTAATATATTTTAATGATTTTTTACAGAGAGATAGGAAGAGGGATAGAGAGTCAGAAACATCGATGAGAGAGAAACATCGATCAGCTGCCTCCTGCACACCCGCCACTGGGGATGTGCCCACAACCAAGGTATTGCCCTTGACCGGAATCGAACCTGGGACCCTTCAGTCTGAGGGCCAACGCTCTATCCACTGAGCCAAACCCGTTAGGGCGTACATACATTCTTGTCTTAGTTGCTGTGCCAGAAGCTTGATACGAATCATCTGACTTATTTTATAGGCCTCAAGAAATAAGCCTCTAGCCCTCAGTGAAGTTTGTTAACTTGCCCAAGGTCAGGTAGCTGGTAATGCTGGAGTCAGGATGCAAACTCTGGCCATGACTCTAAAGTCAAACAATATAACCCAGTAAAACGCATATATAACAAAACTCAGCCAACACTACAAGAAGTTCCCCTGCCTAGTCTCTTATTGAGGTATTTTACACTAATTTTAAATTACTATCAAAGGTATTTTTTAAATGTTTTTATTGATGTCAGAGAGAGGAAGAGAGAGGGAGACAGAGAAACATCAATGATGAGAGAGAATCACTGATTGGCTGCCTCCTGCACACCCACCACCGGGAGCCCGAAACCCTGACCGGCAATCGAACCATGACCTCCTGGTTCATAGGTTGACGCTCTACCACTGAACCACACCCACCAGGCACTATCTATAATAATAAAAGGGTAATATGCAAATCAACCAGATGGCCGAACAGCGGATGATCTTCCA